CTTCGAGTTTCTTTGTTTACGTACAATATATATTATTATCTTAACAAAAGCAAATCCAGATGTAACCAACCAAGACAGGCAAGATATTTCGTTATTCTTAAATCATAACACTAATTTTGAAAAAGACTGAGAACCCGTCAAGGGTTGACCACGATCTTTTGTGACATGCACATAAATTTTACCTGCTTTTTCTATTAGGTTTGGGTTAATTTATCTTAATTGTAGATCCAGATCTAAACTTGGTTTATTTATTGGCTAAGTACTCTTACTATTAACTACGCATTTCCAGTCTCGTGTTTCGAAAATTGGCACCTCGAGAGCATATGTCAGACGTATTTTCTGGCGACTGTTAAGTAGGCTAACAACTCTCTTGTCAATTTATATGATCAGTCCCTCCTCCAAATTGTAATTTATTTTTATTCAAACTTGGAAATGTAAGAGAGTATTAAACTAATTTCTACCCATAGAAAAGGTAAATCTAACTAAAAAGTCATTCCTGCTTTCGCGACATTTTCAATTTTTCGTGGGGTCAGAAAATATTTGAGACAATAATTTAGCCTCCTTCTCCTGCTAATGGACTTTGTAATTTCTGTCCCCCAATGATTGACAAGGAGTTGGAGGAAAATTTCTTGTAGTGGTTCATGGGATGAGCTTGTGAACATTGAGATGGGGTAGCTGAAAGAGTAGTTGATGTAGATGGCAGTAGTAATCTACATCTACTACTACTAGTAGATGACTACCAAGTTAACACAACAACGACCCAGTAAAATTTCACCGGTAGAATTTGGGGAGCACAATATATACACATACCTTATCTCTACCCCCTAGGGAGTAGAGAGGTTGTTTCCAAAAGACTCTCGACTCAAGAAGACACAAAGAGACAATATCAGTACCACACCATATGAACAGCAACAACATCATAAAGACCAGAAAATAGAAGAAACACAAAAGCGATAGCCATAAAAAGACCCGGCACTATGAAAACGAAAGAGTAGTGAGCACAACATTAACCACTAGCAGTCTAAGACAAAAATTCTATCAGACTAGTTTTCCCCTAGGCACGAAGTAGAAATAGACTCAACTATCTTCTAACCTACAACCGTAATACTCGACCTCCACTGTTTCCTATCAAGGGCCATGTCCTCAGAAATTTGAAGTCTCACCATGTCCTGCTTGATCACCTCGCCCCAATACTTCTTAGGTCGCCCTCTACCTCTTCTTGTGCCTTCCAAAGCTAGCCGCTCACACCTCCTTACCTGAGCATCTAGGCTTCTCTTTTGTACATGCTCGAACCATCTGAGCCTCGTTTCATCAATGGGAGTCGCGCCCACCTTCTCCTAAATATCATCATTCCTAATCTTATTCATCCTAGTATGCCCCCACATCCACCTCAACATCCTCATTTCGGCTATTTTCATCTTCTAAATATGTGAGTTCTTAACCAACCAATACTCAGCCCCATACATCATGGCCAGTCTAACCACCGCTCTATAAAACTTATCTTTGAGTATCAGTGGCACTCTCTTGTCACACAAGACTCCAGATGTTAACCTCCACTTCATTTACCCCACCCTAATACGGTGTGTGACATCCTCGTCTATCTCCTCACCTCATTGGATAACCGACCCAAGGTACTTGAAACTGCCATTACTTGGGATGACCTATGATTCAAGCCTCACATCCACGCTCGCTTCTCTCAGCTCGGCGCTGAACTTGCACTCCAAGTATTCCGTCTTAGTCCTATTGAGCGTGAAACCCTTAGACTCAAGGGTCTGTCTCCAAACCTTCAGCCTCTCGTTAACACCTCGCGTCTCATCAATCAAAACAATATAATCAACGAATAACATACACCATGGCACCTACCTTTAAATTTGGTGTGTTAGTGCAACCATCGTCAAGGCAAATAAGAACGGGCTGAGTGCAGAACCTTGATGTAACCCCATAACAACCGAAAAATGCTCTGAGTCGCCTCCTACTGTCCTAACCCGAGTCTTATCTCCATCATACATGTCCTTAATCGTCCTAATGTAGGCAACCGACACATATTTTGCCTCTAAGCATCTCCTGAGAACCTCTCTAGGAACCTTGTCATACGCTTTCTCCGGATCAATAAACACCATGTGCAGATCAGTCTTCATCTCCCTGTACTATTTCACCAACCTCCTAATAAGGCGGATAGCTTCTGTAGGGGAACGACCCAACATTAACCCGAACTGATTGTCGGATATAGACATTGTCCTCCTCACTCTCAAATCAACCATCATCTCCCAAACTTTCATGGTATGACTCATTAGTTTGATACTCCTATAGTTGTTATAACTCTGGGTATCACGTTTGTTCTTATACAATGGGACCACCACACTCCACCTTCACTCATCCGGCATCTTCTTCGTCCTAAAAATAACATTAAACAGTCCATCAGTCACTCCAAGCATGCTCTTCCCACACACCTCCAAAATTCAACCGGGATCTCGTTTGGCCCGGTCGCTCTGCCCCTACTCATCTTACGCACAGCTCTCACAACCTCCTCAACATTACCCAAAGTCCTGGCGACTCTCGGAATGCTCCAATTCACCCAGCACGATATCCCGATCCCCTTCTTCATTCAGAAGATTATAAAAGTAAGCCTGTCATCTCTTTTTAATCTGAGGTTCTCCCATCGATACTCTACCGTCCTAGTCTTTGATGCACCTCACTTGGTCCAAATCCCGAGCCTTCCTCTCTCTCGCCTTGGTCAGCAGAAATAACTTCTTCTCCCCGCCCTTGTCCCCCAGTTCCTCGTATATACGACTGAAAGCCGCATTTTTAGCCTCCGTGACCACCAACTTAGCCTCCTTCCTAGCTACCTTATATCTCTCCATGCACGCTCTCCTCTCCTCCTCACCTGTGCTTCCTACTAACTCCAGGTACGCCATCTTCTTCACTTCCACTTTACCTTGGACCACCTCATTCCACCATCAATCTTCTTTGTGGCCGCCAGAGTAGTCCGTCGAGACCCCTAACACCTCTCTTGCAGCCTCCCTTATACGGTCTGTCGTCGTCGACCACATAATGCTCGCGTCCCCACTGCTCCTCCAGGCCCCCATAACTGATAACCTCCCCTCCAACTGAGCTTTATCCTTAGTCAATGCTTCCTACCTTATTCTCGATCGTCCTCGGACAGACCTTTTCTTCATCTTTAACATAATACCGACGTCCATCACCAAAAACCTATGTTGCGTCGCAAGGATCTCAGTCGGATAACCTTGCAATCCTTGTACAACCCTCTGTCACACCTCCTGAGGAGGATATTGTCAATCTGAGTGTTCGCCACCGCATTTTGAAAAGAAACCAAATGTTCCCCCCCTTTCGAAAAGCTGGAGTTCGCAATCACCAACTCAAAAGCCTTAGCAAAATCCAACAGCGAAGTACCTCCTCCATTCCTCTCCCCAAAATCGAAGCCGCCATGCACCTCGCCATAACCACATGCGGTCGACCCAATATGACCATTGAAATCCCCTCATATAAATAGCCTCTCAGCAGGCGAGACGCACAATCTCATCTAACCCCTCCCAAAAGCGCCTTTTAACCTCCTCATCCAGGCATGCATGCGGCGCAAAAGCACTAAAGACGTTTAGGGAGCACTCTCCAACCACCAACTTAATAGCCACTTAATCTATCATTCACCCATCTAACCTCAACTAAAGACTCTCTAAGATCCCTAACCACCAAGATACCCACTTCATTCCTACCCTTCCGAACTCCAGAGTACATCCGCATCCCTAGCCTTCGATCCTACCCACCTAGTCTCCTGGACATACGCTATATTGACCCTCCTCTTTTGGAGGATCTTCTCCAACTCTATAGACTTACCCATTAATGTTCCTATGTTCCGTGACTCAATTCTCAACCTATAGGCTACCTTGTTCCCCTTACCTCCCATGCCTCCCGACCCACCACCCGCCCTCTGCCCCCCGAGGACATGACCTTACTCTACCATCCCAGACCACAACTACTATACCTACGACAGACTAAGGAAAGTTTCTAACACACACTAGGCAACATACCAAACTAGAAGAAGACAATTGTAACTACATGCACGCTAATATGGTGATTAAACTAATGCGAACTAAAATGGCAATAATCTAACTAACACAAAGAAAAAACAAGAAAATGGTGCGATTAGAACCTGAGAATTGTCTTGGTGTACACGATGGTGTTGTAACACCTGGCACGTTCACGTCCAACTCTCATCGCCCCTTGCTGACACTCGCCCGGGCTACTCTCGGTTTGCACACGCACGCCTTGCTCGTCGCCAATAGCCACCGACCCTAACCTGAAATACACACAAAATTCCACGGACCCAAAAAAGAGGGGGGTTGTCATCGCCACCACTGGTGAAGCCCCAACAATAGCAAAGAAGCGAAAAGAAAGAGGAAACAAAGAGAGAGGAAACAGAGAGAAAAAGAGAAGAGAAAAGTTGTGTGTGTGGGGGGGG